ACCCCTAAACCTTCAAAACCCTAAACCCTAAGCCCAAAGCCAGGCTTACATCATGGACTTCTTGCGCTCCGAGGAGGAGCTCAGTCGGGTTCTGTCTCTGCAGCGAGTTATGACTTCCGCCGGGGCGCTGGCTGGTGACTTGTGCTTTGAAGTTCGGCTCTGAGGCTCTAGGGTTTGTAGGGGTTGTAGGGTGTAGGGCTTTAGGGCCCTCGAGGGTTTTCAAGAGCTTCCAGGGTTGATAGAGGCTTCTGGCTTTTGTAGGGTTTGAGGTTTCCGGGCTTTATAGAGTTTGTATGAGTTTAGACAGGGTTTATCGTGCTCATCAGGTGCATGGGGTTGTGACGTCGCAGGCTGCATGAATTATACGGTTTATAGCGCCGAAAGTGTTTACAGGGTTTAGGGTTTAGGGGATTAGGGTTTGGGGGTTTAGGGTTTGGGGGTTTAGGAGGAATGGTTTGAGGTTCCAAGGCTTGTTTGGGTGGTTTCGTGCTGAGCTGCGGTTTACGCAATCAGCTTGCGTCTCTTGCGGCCCGTCCTTTCTCGAGGGATAGGGTGTGGATAGGGTGTTATGGGTTTTCAGATTCCAGGGTGTGGGGTTTGGCGGTGAAGGGTTGGGTTAAGGCTTGGCTTTAGGCTTCAGAGATATGCAGCGTGTAGGTATGTGTAGCTGTTTGAGGCAAGCTTTGTGCTTGTTGGCTTATTCACTGTTGTAGGATGTTTTCCCTAAGCTGTAAAACCCTCGAAGACTCGAACGACCCTCGCAAAGCCATGTTGGAAACTTGTCAATGAGTCAAGCCACTTGACGGAAGGTACCTCTTGTGCTTCCTGGGAAGCCCCTGGCAAATGATCTGATATAGTCTAGTCTGGTCTACTCTGTGCTAACCTAATCTCATCTGTAGATACATATATACACAAATATATATATATATATACATACACACGCAGAAGGGTATAGTAGAGCATAGTAGAGTATAGTATAGCATACTACAGGACCGTATCGCATAGTATCGCATAGTATAGTATAGTATAGTATAGTATAGTATAGTAAAGTAAAGTAAAGTGTAGCATATCAGAATGAACTAATCTGCCCTTGAATCTGAAGCCCGGCTTAAGCTCTGAACCCCAAAAAAAGCCTTAAGTTTCTCAAGCCCAACGAGCTGAACTGTACCAGGTGCCACCTTCATGATTGCTTTATTTTTTGTGGTATACCTACTTTGTTGTGTGTGTATGTATACGACATTCATTGTGTTCCATTCCATTTTGGGTGAAAAAAAACTGATCGCAGCACACCCAGCAGACCATTGCCAAGTAAGGTCCCCTGGTGGCTCGCACCTTTGACAAGCTGCATTTCAAGACGCTTTGTCTAGGTGGGGGTTCAGGGTTTAGAGTTTATGGCTTTAGGGCTTAGGGCTGCTATCTGAAACGGTTTTAAAAGGATTTGGTGTTAGCGCGTGTCATGGGGTTCGTTTAATCAGGGATACCTTATTGTCAGGGGTCCATATGATAAAGATGCTACGTAGTAAAGTCCATGGCGGCACGGATTTGTCTCTAGGGGTGCTTCTGCACATCGAGGAAGGGGGCGTACCCCAACCCCCAATACCCTTGACTCAACCCGTCATCTCCTCGGGAGTGCGAGCCTGAAGTATAGTACAAAACTTCTTGAAGAGGATTTTGATTCCAGATGCCTAGACACTGAATCCTGAAGACCTGAGCCACTTAGGGCTTAGGGCTCCGCACACCTGATTCGGGCCTGCCTTGCTCTATACTCTAGGACATTTTCAGGTGGGTAGTTACCGTTATAGGAGCCTTATAAAAGCCTTATAGAAGCCCTATATATACCCTAAGCTCCCCACCTGTACTTTCCTTTAACTAAATGCTTTCGGAGGTGTGGTCTGCGTGAATGTGCTGAATCTGCTCATCGGCTCGCTGCTCTGGGAGGATGCAGCTAAGGCAGAGGGCAGAGACAGGAAGAAGCCCATCCAGGTGAGCTGATTCTTTGTCGGGGCTGGAGTCTTTTTGGGACTTTTGGCGCTCAAAAGGGGCTTCTGGGTTTTAGGGGCTTTCGGGTTCAGGGGTTTTGGGGGCTGAGGGGTCTGGGTTTAAGGTCAAGTTTTCGGGTTTGAGGTGAGCAGGAATATTAACATATTATATTCTACTGTATTATATTATATTATACTATACTATATTATGTTATACTATATTTAAAGTTTTCAAAGTATAGTTGGCAACGACTGGTCCGAGGTTCTGGAGCTAAAGATTTGCGGATCTGAGGTTCACATATGGGCAGCTCTCTGCATGAGGGTCCTTGTTTTTGGGGTATTATACTGGGGACCTAAAAAATGTGACACTAATTCTCTACATGAGGGTCCTTGTTTTTAAGGTATTATACTGGGGACCTAAAAAATGTGACACTAATTTAGAGAACTACCCCATACATGAGACTCATGGTACCCAAAATCCTTGGCCGCGAACTCCAAGGCCCAACTCAATGACGCCTACAACCCTTGTCCCTAAACCCTACCTGAACGTGCCAGAACCCATAAAAATCCATAGGGTTTTTTTTATAGCGACCTACAAACATGTAGGGTATGGTCGTTTGGGAGTTTACGGTAGACAATACTCCCTCAAAGCCCTACTCTAATCAACCTTCTCCCTCGCCCCCCACAGGTCGAGCAAGACGAAGACAATGATGCAGTGGAAAAGTCTATAAGTGCCTGGCTTCTTGTTAAGGCTTTTCGGTGCAGGGTTTAGGGTTAGTGTCCTAGGTAGTATTAGGGGGACCCCTTGAAGGGGACCCTTCTGAACCGTACTTGTGGCTCTCGTAAAGGGGACCTTATTGAGAGGGTCTTTCTCCCCAAGGGTCCCCCTAATCCCAACTCCCATAGTGAAAATGGGTTCCCAGACCCTCCTTCGGCCCTTAGACAGCAGTAAGTATGCGTTATTTTTTTGTTCAGCCCCGACTTATGGGAATTTAGGGTTTTAACCGAGAGTGCACGGTCTAGGTATGTAGAGCAAGCATATGCGACCCTCGTAAGTATTGTCTGATAGGTGACTTCAGTTTCTTGCAGCCTGCATTGTAGTAGCTTTTCTGGTTTTCGCAATTTTGTTGTATGGAGTCCTGATCATTTCGCCAACCCAAAGGGCGAGCTACAATGGAGACTATAGGTAGGTTCATTGAAGAGAAGCGAGGTGAGCAGCTGAAGGCGATGTTTGCGAATCAAGCTGCTTGCGGCAACTGGCCTTCGAAAGAAGACTCCAGACCTAAACCCTAAGCCCTAAGCCCTAAACCGTGTAGGGTGGGGTTTGGGGACTGGGCTGTAAGTTCGGTCTCACTGTGTTGCTAAGGGCTCTCAGATCCGGCTGTAGGCTTTGCTTTAGTGAAGTAAGCATCTGGTTTTTGGTTCAGGTTCCTAGACTTGAACTGAAAGCATTTGAAATGAAACTAGGGTGTTGAGGTTGTTTTTGGTAGCGTGCTTTAGCGAGTGGGTCTCGCGCTAGGCTATCTTCGAGAGTTCAGGGATCATTGGTGCTTTGGGGCTTAGGGCTTAGGGGTGATCACAGGTTGCTGAAGCAGCAGGTATTAGCTTACAGGCTTGCCTGGGTCCTGGATAACCTATCCTTTTAAGGACCCCACACATATATAAGGACATCATAGCAGTAAGGCAGGGTTTTTATAGGGTCCAGGTAGGGCTTAGATCGTGAAAGGCCGGGTTCCTGGGGTGCCTATGACCCCTATGAGCCATCATGTGTTTCAGGGACCGGAACACTTCTGGGTCCTGGTTGGCTACAATTTTACATTCTTGATATAGTAAAACCCAATAAAAAAAGGATTAAACATGATCATTTTTCATATAGCCCTAACAGGGAACCAGACTTGCTGGTATCAGTCATTCTGGGTTCCTAGAGCCAATAGGTTACATCCGTCTGTAGCCCCTTAAACCCTAAACCCTAAGCCCCCTAAACCCAAAACTCCTGAACCCCTAAACCCCTGAACCCTTAAACCCTACACCCCCCAAGACCAAAACCCTAAACCCCTAAACCTAAAACTCCGAAAGCCCCTTGTTTAGCTCAAAGCCTCGAATCCATGAGCAATATGGGGGGGTTTCTGAAAATGGGGGACCCTAATATAGTACCCTGAATGATTAGGCTTATGGGGTTTAGAGTTTAGGGATTAAGGGTTTGGGTTTAGGCTCTAGTATGATGGTTTCCGAAAATAGGGGACCCTAACATGGTACCCTAAATAGTAGGGTCCTCAGTATAAGGACCCCAGAATAAGGTACCCCTAAACCCTATAAACCCTAAACCCCTAAACCCCTAAACCCCTAAACCCTAAACCCCTAGTTTCGGAAACTCTGCGAGAAGAGACCGAGGCCTGCTTCTGGTGTCCTTTGTCTACGCACTGGGCTTTGCCATTGGGGATGGCCCGGAGATGGTTTTCTTCAAGGACCGGTGTGGGGATGTAGGGGGCTTTAGGGTTTAGGTGATGGCTTTCTTTAAGGACTTTCGGAGGTTCTTGAAGAGGCAGAGGCTGTGGCACGGTTTTGGGGGGATTGTCCCAGAAGGAAGATTCTACTCCTGAGATGCAGCTTGACGAGAAGACGTTTTGGCTGAAGTCCTTATAACACTGGGCTTGCTCCTGTAAATCCCGAGCGCCGAAGCCCGAAACCCCAACCCAGAAAGCTGCAAAGAGTCGAGCCCCCAAACCTCCCCCCAAATCTCATAAAACCGCAAGAACTGTGGTAAACACCTGGAGTCCAAAACCATCTGAAACCCCACACCCTTCATGAAGCACCATGGACAAGTTCGTTGTCAAAACCCCCCATAAGCCCCCTTGTGAAACTCTTTGCAAGATGAACAAAGCGCAAAAGAGCTCGAAGACAGGACCGCTTCGGCTTTGGCAAGGAGCATGCTTGCGTCTTCTACCTGTTGACCAATGTGTCAACTTTGGTGCCTTGTCTGATTTATCTGGCGGCCCTACTCCAAAATTGTTCTAGGGTCCATTATATTTATTGCTTATAAGTATGACCCTAAACCCTAGACCCTATAATCTCTAGTGACTATAAGAGGTTTAAGTGAAGCCCGGAAAATGAGCGCATGGAATGAGGATGAGTAGTGCTAGTTAGGAGGATATCTTTTTCTACTGCTAGGTTAACCAGACCGCAACTATCCCTTTAAGCAATCCTGGTCGTTGATAGCCGGCAGCTGGGTTAGGGATTTTAGGGGGATTTCAGGATGGTTGCTTCTCGAGTTTTGGGGAGTCTAGATTCTAGATGTCCATCAGGGAGGCTTGTCGTGGGTATCGGTGAGTAAACTCAGGCATAAGCTTCTAAGATTCTGCAAGCGTCTCGAGCGCAACAAAAAACTGCAGCTTCCAGCCTTGAATAGCAATGCAACCCTACACTTAGATCCTCAACCGCAAGCCCTGAACCCAACAATGCCGAAACCCCTTAATCCGTAGAACCCTTGTAGTTTAAGGGTACAAGGCACCTAATGATTTCTAGGCTTACGCGCCCATCACGCCGAAGCAAGTCTAATTCCGAAGTTTCGCTGGTGGGCCCTTGATGAGCCCAGGTGTGTTCTCTTAGGTTAGGGTTTCGGGTTTAGGGTTTAGAGCCCAGGTGTGTTCTGCATGGGTCCCTGCCCTCTTGACGAATTTCGGCGCGCTGCCGCTTTGCATTGCCGGTGCCTGGCTTTGATTCTGCAACCCAACTTTGTTGTCTGTAAACATCGTTCTCTTTGTGTTGCAAAATCTTGTTATCAGAGGATTCCGAGAACAAAAGCCAGTCGTCCCGCAAGGGAACTCAAGTGGATTACTATAGGAGCCTAAATAATTACCAAAACTATTTTGGTACTTATAGTATAATATACCACCAAACCCTGTTTTACTTCTTAAGACTTCTACATTATCCACAGCATCTGCTCATGTGTCGACCCGAAGCCACACACACACACACACACACGCAATTCAAGGCATTGTTGCTGCAAGGGTTGCCATAAGGGTTACTGTACATAAGGGCACAGACAACCTCATGTAGGACTTAGTGTCAAGTCTAATGTACAAAGCCTACTTGCCCAAAGCCCTAAATACTACACCCCAACACCTACTTACCCCAGAGCGCATTAGAAACGTCTCTCATGAACCCTGCAGGAAACGCGCAAGCGACGGTGCAACTTGCTAAGGCCCCTAGGTAAGCAACCTTGCTTGAAATTGCCCTGGGATCCCTTTAGTGTAATTTCCAAAAGCATGCGTTTTTGGGGAGCCTCCCCCAACCCTGAACCCAAATCTCCTAAATGATCATAGTAACCCATATTATACTCTAAACCCTACACCCTAAACCAGAATATAGCAGCCCTTGCAGTACCCTAAACCCTAAACCCACGAGTGGCCCTGAGACTATCGATCAAAGACCCTACACCCGAAACCCTAAACCTCCCTTGTAGTCACCCTTGCGGTAGGCTTAGGGTTTAGGGTGTAGGTATAGGGTACCGGGTTTAGGGTATCGGGTTTAGGGTTTAGTGGCCCGAAAGCCCTCCCCCCTAAAATGCAGCAGCCCTAAACCCTAAGCCTGTCGCAGCCCTACGTCGGCCGTCGTCAGAGGAACGGTTGGAGGTTCCGTGGCGTCGCTGCTGCTTGTGTTCGGCCCGACCGCCCTCTGGGTGCCGTACCTTTGGCTTCGGGTTTGAGGCCTAAGGAGTTTAGGGCTTTGAGAGGTTGAGGGTGAGTTTCGGGCTTTGAGGGGTTGAGGTGTTAAGGTTTGAGGGGTAGTTGAGGGTTTTCAGGGTTTAGAATATAGGGGCCTAGATAATTACCAATACTATTTGGGGGTTCCTTAGTAGGAGTATAGTACAGCACACCCCAAAACCCTCTTCGAATTATTAAGGCCCCTACATTTGTTGTTTCGGGTTCTGCTCCTGGCCAGTTAAGGAACCCCTTAGGGGACTCTTTAGAGATAAATCCTAAACCCTAAAACCTAAACCCTAAACCCTAGGCCAGTTAAGGAACCCCTTAGGGGACTCTTTAGAGATAAACCCTAAACCCTAAAACCTAAACCCTAAACCATAGGCCAGTTAAGGAATCCCTTAGGGGACTCTTTAGAGATAAACCCTAAAACCTAAACCCTAAACCCTAGGCCAGTTAAGGAACCCCTTAGGGGACTCTTTAGAGATCTCTAGGGTTTGAGATTTGGGCGTCCGAGCTACGGCTTCGGAAGAGACGGATCCTCCAAGTATCCTTCAACACAGCTCTTATGGTCCCTGGCAGTGGGTGTTTAGGCTTTAGGGTGTTTAGGATTCTGGGTTGTAGGATTTTGGACTTTGGGTTTAGGGTTTAGGGTTTAGGCTATAATGAAGGGGTCTGGAAAGGTTAGGCTGCAGCCTATTCTGGCATCTAGGATGAGGTATCCTGCGCTACCAACAGTGGGCACATGTCTGGTTGCCAGACTTTCAGCACTGTCGTGAGAAGGTATGCTTTCGGCATTACCATGGTTGGCCTCTTCGGGACCATGATTGGCTTGGGCTTCATGCACTTGGTGAGGGACCCTTGGAACGGACTTACTAGAGCAGGTTTCATGCACCCAATGAGTCCAGCTTTCGGCAAAAGGCAAGCACAAGTCCCGGTTCGTTCAAACAAGGGGCTTAAGATTAGGCATTTGGGCTTAGGGAAAAGTAGTGGGATAGCTGAATAGTAACTCGCAAGACTAGTCTTTTGGTCCGTTTTTCCATTGACTCCAAGGGCTATTTACGAGTGCCTTAGAGTGAGGACTCTTTGTCGCGTGGAGGGCATAGGATTCAGGGCTTAGTTTCGAGCAAGACTTCCAGTTTTGGCTGGCGCAGTCTGCTTCGTCCCTGGCTCCAACCCTAAACCCTAAACCCTAAACAGGTCCGCGGCTCGGGTAGGGCTTAGGGTTTCGTGGTTTAGGCTCGGGCCCAAGCATTCGAAAGCCCTGTATTCAGAAGCCCTGCAACGCCTTGCAAGAACTCTCTGCCCTATAAGACCTTACTACCACCCTGGACCCTATCTATATAGATATATAATATATGTATATATACTACCATATAATATAATACTATATATATATATTGTATTATATTATATTATATTGTATTATATTATATTATATTATATTATATTATCTTATATTATATTATATTATTGCATAGTACAATATAAACTGAATGTAACATAGCACAATATAATATAATATATGATAAGATAAGATCATATAAGATAAGATAATATATTTTATCATCTTGTTTTATATTGCCCATAACATGTTATAGTTTATTATGTTACATTATATGTGTGTATATATATATATATATTTATGAACAAAGTCCTAAAGCATGTAAGCAGGGCGGCTAGGACTTTCGGCCAAGATGGGCCCCCTACAACCTGTCAAGAAGCTCCCGGAGCTGAAGGTGTTTTAGGATGAGAGATCTAGGGCAATGCCCCAAACCCTAAACCCTAAACCCTAAACCCCAAACCCTAAACCCAAACCCTAAACCCAAAACCCTAAACCCTAAACCCTAGGGTTGAAGTTTCGGCGCTTGTTGTTTGGCATCGGCTCACGGAAGGTTCCTCAAGTGATCTGCAGAGGAACTCGTTTGTCAAAGTATCTACTGCAGAGTTCTTGGTCCCAGAGGGGGTAGAAGATGATAGGACGGGATTGATCAATTGGCTGGCTGGCTAGGTTGGTTGTTGGTTTATTGGCTGGCTGGCTGGCTGGTTGGTTGCTTATTGGTTGGTTGGTTGATTGATTGGTTGCGTTGGTGGCTTTGCTGGTTGAGCGAATGGGTTTGTATGGGTTCCTCAGTTTCTGAATCTCTCAAATCCTCAGGGCGTGAGATATAGGCAAAGGCTTCATCCTAAACTCGAAACCCTAAATCCCAAAACCCCAAACCCCTAAACCCTAAACCCTAAGCCCCCAACCCCAAAAACCACCCTGAGACCTCACCTTTGTTGTGGCGGCATCTTCTTTTCCGGTTCACCCCGGATGTTTTGCAAGCCAATCCCTGGCCGCCTGGGTCGCTAATTTGTTGAACAAATGTTGGGGCTGTAGGGCTCAGGGTTTAGGGTTTAGGGTTTTATGTTGGGGCTTTAGGGCTCAGGGTTTGGGATTCAGGGTTTAATGTGGGGCTTGAGGGCTGAGTACCCTAAACCCTCCTCCCTAAACCCAAACCCCAAACCCTCAACCTAAACCCTAACCCTGAGGGTCCAAAGGACCCAATAATGAGGTACTTGGGTTACGGATAGTAGTTATCTAGGTTAATATTTGGGAGAGTATATGATTATTTAGGCACTTGGACCCTTAGGATAATCTGTGGAGCCAATCCAAGGAGTATTGCCCGGAGGATCTGATGGGTACTATGTTTGGTCTACAGAGTTCTCTGAATGGGGCCGCTGGTGCTTTGGCGCCGCCCTTTGGTGGTTGGCTGTACCGCCTGAATATTTTTCTGCCATTCCTGTGTACGTCTGCCTCCTGCGCTCTTACCGGCCTGCTAACTTGGTCAATCTTTGGGATCCTTTCTGTTTTTTTTTTTGTGGGTTGGGTGTCTGATAGTTTAGAACCAAGTCCCTAGAATGAAACCTTTTCCTTTCCTTTTTGCAGAGACCAAGGTTGTATGAGACCGCTATGCCAAAGTCGAAAAAGGAGGCCGTGACCAAGACTGAGATCGTTGAGGCCGATGGTCAATCCACTTGGGACCCTGAAACGTAAGCCGTTTAGGCTTCGGAGTTGAGGGTGGAAGGAAATGTTCCGCAAAGCTAGGCTTTGACAGCTCAACTCAAAAGTACGATGCAACATACTGTCGCCTGCGCGCTATTCCACTGCAAACCCCTACAGTAGAAGCCCAAAAGTTGGAAACCCAATAGCCTCAACCCTCAAAAGCAATGAAAAGGGAATCGCAGCACTAATTGTCCTTTATCCGGTTTCCAACTTTTGGGGATTTTACTATAAGGCCCTAAGCCCTAAGCCGAATTTCTGATCCCTTAAACCCCCGTCTGAGGCCGTGGTGCACCGGAAGGCAACGAAGATGACTCGAAACTCCACCTTCGGCAGGCCCATCTACCACGACACTGGGCCTTGAGGGGGGTTTAGGGTTCTGGAGTTTAGGGTTTTGCTGTTTAGCTGTTTAGGGTTCAGGTTTTGGGGCTAAGGGGTTTAGGGTTTAGGCTTTTGGGGTTTTGGGGTTTAGGGTTTAGGATTTTGGGGTTTGGGGTTTTGGGGTTTTGGGCTCCTTTGACGGATACTACAGAGGTTCCTTTAAAGGGATCTACCACGACGCTGGGCCTTACGGGGTTTTGGGATTTTTCCTTCGAGGCTTTCTGCAAGAGTCTATAAGACATAAGGCTTCAAGGGTTTAGGGCTGAGGGTTTTGGGGTCTAGGGTCTTGGGGTTTAGGGCTTAGGGTTTTGGGTTTGAGGTTTGGGGCTTCAAGGCTTCAGGGCTTCGGGTTTGATTGGGGGATTGGGGCTTAGGGGTTTGTCGAAACAGATGCTGGGCCTTTGGCACTGGTGTGTCTGGCAGTCGAGCGTTTAGAGAGCTCAGGGTTTAGGCTTCAGGGTTTTAGGATTCTGGCGCTTAGAACTTTAGGGTTTTAGGGTGGAGAGCTTTGGGTTTAGGGTGTGTGGCAGCAGGTTACGTCTTTGGTTTTGGTTCCAACAGGTTGATCAGGGAAGGGTCTTGGGATGAGGGTTTTAGGATTGGGTAAACCCTAAACCTAAACCCTACTTGGACCTGGACCCCGAACAACCTACCTTCTTGGGGTTCTTTACTATAGTTTCTTTATATATTTATACAAGTCCATAAAAAGGTAGGTTCTTTGGGGTTAAGGTAAACCCTGACTGGTTGTGCTAGGTAGGTTTTACAGTTTTTGCCTGCCAAAGCTTGAGGCTCTAGGTTCTTAGGCTTAGGCTTTAGTTGTTCCTTCGTCGGTTGGGCTTTGGCTTGGAGGTTGTGTATGGCATGTCGCATTTCTGTCTTTCAAGTTCTGTGTGCGTATAATGCTGGTTCCAAGCACTCCTTGAATCGTTAGTTTAAATTCTAACGATGTTAACCTGGCACAATGCTTAACAAGAATCTAGGACATTTTCAGGTGGGTAGTTGCCGTTATAGGAGCCTTATAGAAGGTCTATATACCTTATAGAAGCCTTATAGGAGCCCTATATACCCGAAGCTACCCACCTGTAGTTTCCTTGATAAAAAGAACGTAGCACTAGGTTTCGGGTTCGTGGACCTGCCAGAACAGCCCAGGACAAGAGTTTCATCATACAGGTCTGTACCAACGAGCTCAGCATCTCGCCGATAAAGACCAAACGCTTGCGACACACGGTGCCTATCCGTAGCTGCCGCTACCTACCATTATCAGAGTTTTACCCTATAACTGAAGGGGTCACAACCCCCCAAAAACCTAACACATCGTGCAGGGTATGGGGCTACAGGCCTTCGAATCGAGTGCAAGAGGGATAGCCGCTTGACATTTTCGCTTTCGATACTTGCACATAACGTACCCTTGGACCCGGAGACTACAGGCCCTTCGTCGTAGTGGTTAGGGTTTAGGGGTTTTGGCTTTAGGAGACTTTAAACATTTTATGTCAGAAATGCACCTTGAAGTATATAAATCACAAAAGGTATCCCTTATTCTAAGTCATAGGGTTGCCCAACCCCCACCCTAAGACTCCCCACCAAAGGCAAGCCCACTAGCGAAGTTCAATAAAACGTGGGTTTCGTGGGTTTCGTTGGTGAGCCTGGCGAGGACAATTGAGGGGCCTTCTGAGGAATTGATTGGGCGCTAGCGAGGGCCTATTGAGCAGTAGAGGGCTCTTATTGAAGGATTCCATGGCTTGTTTTCCGTGCCAAGCTAAACAGCAATAGGCTTCTATAGCGGTTTCTGCGCTCTATTGAGGTTCAGACGGCCTTCTTTGAAGCCTCACCGTTTGCAATAGAATGTTATTGAAGCCAGCCTGTTTCATCATAGATTTTAACGGGAGGGGGGCAGACACCCCCCACCCAAACTCAAAACCTTCAGCGAAGGCTGCTGAGAGGTAGATTCTTTGTGGGTGGTATTTCGGTGACCGGGGCTATCGAGGCTGAGGCGAATCGTGATTAGCATAGTCTACTGAAGCTTAAACGGGTGTGCATTGAGGCTACGGCTAAGGGATTTCCTGGGTCGAACCTCCCTTAACTGGCTGTGGCTTCAAAGTCCTTTCATTCCTCAAACCCCAAACGCTGATGAGCTTTATGTAACACCCGAAAGCCTGATTAAAAGCTGTATGTAAGGTGTGTTTGGAATGGGGATCGGAGATTCGGAGTTATTTAGGCTGCAGGGATTACGTGCGCTCACGGGTTTAATATGGGTGTAGATAAGAAATTTAGCATCATTATCATGCTGCTAGCATTATGTTCCTGTGTCGTGGTGATACCGGTCGTTCCCAGTACAGGGGGGTTGTAACCATTGCCAACTGAATGAATGCTGACTAAGGGAACGACGGAAACAAACAAACAAACAAGGATTGTTGACACACAGGCCATTTTTATGAAACTCATTGAGGCGACGACGGCTGCACGAGGTTTTGCTTTGCACACTGACCTCCGATCCTTCGGTGCACCGCTCGGTAGCAAACAATAAGTAGCACTCACACGTTAACAAAAAACCGCAACTAATAGGGCCTATTAGACACTCCACTCGAAAACACAAATTTGGCTTCGATAGGCCATTCTCGATAAACAAAATTAGCACTCGATGGGGAAAAAAGAATCCTCAAGAGAGACACAATAGGCCTCAGAGCTTCCAAGAGGCCCAATCGAAACGAAAATAGCACTCGCTCAGAAGTCCTCGATAGAATTATCGGCAGGCGCGACACATACGGCGTTTCAAACCCACCCAAGTAGCCTCAATTATGTGTGTGCTTTGATGGTGGGGGGGTATCTGACCACCTCCCGTTAGAATCCTATGATTTCAGGATTTGTTGAGGGAGCTCGTTGTAATTGGGTGTTAGTTTTGGCTGTTGAGCGGTATCTTGTGTGGGGTGGGGAACAGGGGAAGGTAGAAAGCCTTTCCGAATGGACGGCGAGTCCGAAGCCGATGCCACGGTAATGGGCGATGATGCGGAGACTGGGGAACCCGATGCCCCGGGAACGAGCGATGATTCGGAAGCTGGGAATCCGGATTCCCCAGAACTCCACACAAGATACAGCTCAATAGCCAAAATTAACACTCAAATGCAACGAACACCCTCAACAAATCCTGAAACTGGCTGGCTTCAATAACACTCTTTTGCAAGCGGTGAGGCTTCAAAGAAGGCCTCTTGAACTTCAATAGAGCGCAAAAGCCGCCATTGAAGCCGGTTGGTGTTTAGTTTGGCGCTCGCTGGCCATATTGAGGCTTGTGGGGGGCGGGGGGGCACTCTTGAGCTTACATATCCCTGATATCAGAGTATGTGATATGCTACACATACTATGACTTTCAGCACCCAAGACCCTTCAGTGAAGCTCCTGTCGCCCCTCTACGGGCCGCAAACTTGCATGCTTCAACAGATTATGTGCGCTTGGGGGGGGTCTCTTGCCTTCGAAGCATTGGCGGCGGTGTCTCCATCCCTAAATCCAACGACTTATTATTTACTAGTCTCGCTCGCAGAAGTCGCCCAAAAGCCTTTGGTGAGACCTGTACAGACCCTTCTAAACCCCCCTAAACCCTGAGCCCTGAACCCCTCTAAACCTCCCTAGCCTGGCTGTGTTGAGTTGGAGGCCAGGCCCGAAACCCTACCCCGAGCTTAGGGACCTACATGAAGAGGTCATAAGGAAGAGCCCGAGCCCCAAAACGGTGGGTTCTTGAAGGGGGGGGCGAAGAAAGCCCCGGGTATTCAATGCCCATGTAGGGTAGGCTATGGCCAGCATCTTGGGCATTGTTGTTGTTTCCAGGGTTTCTAGGTTTCTGCCGGTGTTTTCAGGATTTTCGGGTTTGAGGGCAAACGGGATAAGACAAACGAAGACATAGGTTCCGAAATAAGGATCCGATCCTGGATCCGATTGTGGCGCCCGTGCGGATCCTTCTTAAAAAGCCATCTCATTTGGGGTTTCTCAGCAACCTTGGCAGAGCCCCTTAACCTAAACTAAACCCCAAACTCCATGCCCCGAGGGCTTGAAACCCAAATCCCCTCAACCCTACTGTGCCCCGAGGTATCGGACTGAACCCCGAGAGCATGTACTTCTACCAGCGCATGCGGGAGCGTTTGAAAGAGGAGAATGTGCGAGGGGGCATGACCCTCTCTCAGGATTTGGATTAATGAATACTTTCACAGATGCCTCGGGTCGAAACCCTTAACCCTAAACCGGGAAGGGTGGGTTTACGTTAGGGGCCTGAAACCAAAGGAGGAGTCTTTGTTCGGGTTGGTAGCAGAGTCCTTTTCGTTTTTCAGACTCCTAGGTGGGTCTGGGGTTTTTGTTAAGTATGTATGCAATCATGCAGGCATGCATGTTGCGTGTGTAAAGGTAAAAAGCATACAAGAAATATACATACAGTTATATGCATAGGTATGTATGCATGTATGTGCGCACGTACGTATGTACGTGTGTATGCGCGTACATATGTATGCATGTACGTATGCTTGTGTGTCAGTTGCAGGGCGACCCTCCAAATCAAAGCCGTGGTTAAACCTCCAATACTTCTGAACCCCTAAGGGTCCATGTGCCCAAATGGTATATATTTTGGCTTACAGTAGTCCCTATATAGGCACATTGGGGCCAAAGTATATACTATTGGGGCACATGGAGTCCGGATTCAGCGTTTATTGTTTAGGCTTCAGGGTTCAAGGTTCATGCACACGGTTTAGTTTGATGCGTTTAGGGTTCAGGGTTTAATTGTCCCAAACTGAATCAGCAACATCCCGAACAGCTTCGAAGCCCAAGGAAGCCTGTGGCTACCGTTGCGGGGTCCCTCTCAGAGTCCATCGAGCAGGAGGACGAAAGGAAACGCAAGGCCGTTTCCATACGACGCATCTCGGAGTTTGTACCTGTTGTTCGTTCTTTCTGCTTGAGGGTTTACAAATTCTCTCTTCAGGATTTTCGGGTCTGGATTTTCGAGTGGCTAATCATCGAAAGAAGAATCACGATACAACGTTTAGGACTACCGTTTTGGGAGCAGGGTGTTTTCTTTGAAGCGGGTCGTGCTCAACCTACTCAACCGATGCAGACTGAACTGATTCTGTAGTGAAGAGGTCTGATATCTCGAATTCTCCCGCAAGCGTTCCTGGTCCAAGCCTCCTGACCCTAAAAACCCCCAAAAAAATCTTAAACACCCTGAAAACTAAGGCACAAACCATAAATCCGAAGTCCGCAAACCCTGTCGGTATCGCAGGACGCCTGTGACTCCTCGGCCCAAGAGACTAAACCCTAAAACCTAAAACTTACCTGTAGTCTCCATTGTAGTTCCTTGTTTTGGTTTACCCCATTTTATATTAAGGATCCTAAAAGGTAACCCCAAAGAGGAACTACAATGGAGACTAGAGGTAAACCCTAAAACCGAAACCCCAAAGGCGTGGAACCCTACAGGCGAACATAAACCCTTATAGACCCTCTAAACCCACCCTGTCAGGCCCCTTGTCAGACTTTGAGAGAAGCACGTCCTAATGATGCTAGCAGCATAGTCTTGCCCTAGGCCCTAAACCCTAAGCCTTAAGCCAAGCCTTAAAATTTTAGATGAAATTCTAGCATATTCTGGCCCTAAACCCTAAGCCCTAAACCCTAAGCCTTAAGCCCTAAGCCTTAAAACTCTAGATGAAATTCCAGCCTTTTCTGGCCCTAAACCCTAAGCCCCAAAGCTGACGGCTGGCTGAGGCATGGGCACAGACCAGGGTCTGGGATCTGGCAGTGGGAGCTGAGCAAAAGCGGAGACCGGAGTGCTGGAGATGTTGGGTTTCGTCCATGGTCCCTATATATATTGTTCCCCTCTAATAAAGGGCAGTATAGGGTTCTCTAATAGGGTCCCGCTTTAAGGGTCCATGTACCCAAATACTATACACTCCGGCCTTAAAATAGTCCCTATATAGGTACATTGGGGCAAAAGTATATACTAGTTGGGTACGTGGACCCTTCACGGCTTCTTTCAGGGGTCTGTAGGGCTTATAGGGTTTAGGGTTCAAGAAGAGTTCTGTCAGGATTCTACCTGGCTCAGGGCTTTGGAGATTGCGTGCAGGGGTTCCTTCAGGGCTGGCTTACATGCCTGGGATTACCCAGTTACTAGTTTGCCCTAAACCCTAAGCCTTAAATCCTAAACCCTAAACCCTGAATCCTTAACCCTAAAACCTAAAACCTAAACCCTAAGGCCCTAAACCCTTTTAGTTTCAAGGTTGAGACCACCTGGGCGTTTAAAGATCCCCAAACCTTTCTCTCTCTCTACACCCGATTTAAGTTCCTTGTGAAACTGTTCTGAACTCCCACAAAAGCTGGATTCTTGCTCTATGTAGCCGCCCTAAAGTCATCAATCTTCTCAAAACCTGCACAGAACTGCTGCATCGTTGTGGGATTCTATGTGTCGCCCCACTATGAAAAGATAACCCTCATGCAAGGAACTCTTGTTGAACATCTTGTACAGCCCTTACCTTTTAGCAAACAAGAGCTTACAGCTTGTGAGAAAGCGGGTACAATCATGTACAATCCTCATAAGCGTCCTTACAGAAAGTCTAGAGCAAACCGCAGTATGGCAAGACCTTATGCAGTGTCTAGAGGAACTTCAAGCGGATTTGTTGAGTCCTGCCTTCAAGAGTGGCCTCATACAGCCTCTGAGAAACCAAGACCTGAACCCTATAGCCCTCCTAAACCCCGAAACACTAAGCCGCTAAACCCGAACCGAATATAGGGCTCCTAATCAAAAATATGGTACAATATACCCCGAAACCCTCTTCTAGTTATAATATAAGGCTCCCATATGAGACCTCTCAGACCCAAGACCGCCAAGCTCCAAATCCCTTAATAATATAGGGGCCCAAATAATTACTAATACTATTTTGGGGGGTCCTCCTTAGTAGAATTAGACCATAAAGGGCTTCAAAGCCTTATTGCGGGCCTTATTCTAAATAAATATTTAAGGCCCCTTTACAATTTCACCACGAGTTGGCAGGTGCTGCGGTTGAGGGCCCCTGTGCGAACTGCCGGGACGGAGGTGGCCATGGCGTGGAGACGCCAGAAAAAATCGTCCTCCTTTTTTGGTTCCCTTATACGGGATCTATAAGGGTTCTATAAAAGGCGGGTGTGAGTATTTAACACCTAGGTAGGTGTCTGGGGCTTTAGGCTTCGGAGCTTTAGTGGTCTAGAGATTACCTACCTTAGCGTCTTTGTGCAGTCTTGGAAGCGAGCGTTTGTTGGCCGAGTCGCGAGATCTAGTGGAACGTAGACTAGTAGAACTGTTTCTTGGCGAGGGGTGCCCTTCACCCGGCTGCAAGGAAATTCTACCTGGACCCTTTGTTGTAGCACTGTTTACGATGGTTACCTTGACTTTCAGAGTAAGTACAGGATACTGACCAGAAAATCTGTTATTCCATAGACGGGGCAAGATAGACCTCAAACGAACAATCTCCCTACCTCTTGAGATGGTTCCAGTGTGAGACCGCCAACATTAAGTCCCTTAAGTCTGAAGCGGGAGCAGGGGTTGGGAGGGTTGTCCTAAAGGTCATGACTCAACCCTCAACCTAAAACCTTAAGTTCGAAACCCTAAGTTCGGCAGAAGACTGGTCATCCGGGCTCGGCTTACCCTAGACCCTAAAGCCCTAAACTTAATAAGACTTTCGGGATCTGTGAGAGAGAATCGCGGGCTAGTCGACGCCTCTTCTTGCAGCGCCGCGGCAACGTGCAAAGAGGGAGATGTCCGGCGTTTAGGGTAGTTAAGGGTAGTTGAGGGGGTTTAGTGATAGTTTAGGGCTTCAGGGGTTTCGGGGTTTAGGGTTTAGGGTTTTTGGCAATGCCTTCAACAGCAAGACATGGGGACCGAGGGTGATAAGGAGTTCTTCTTTGGTTGGTCGTTTTGTCAACGCAGGTGCAGGCAAGGTCTAGGGGTCGTGGTCATTGTTGGGTTTTCTGGCAAATCCCACAGTGGTACCGATATATGAGTCATGTGTTGTTGTTTGGGGCCGTCTCCTCATCAAGACTGAACGGTCGGGAAGAGGGTGCTCTTATTATCAGGCGGTTGCTGCGGGACCCTAGACCCTAGACCCTAAACCCTACCTAGCCCAGTTCGCTTGTTTCTTGCTGGGAGACTCTTTCCGCCGCTTGTTTTTGTGCTTCCAAGCTGCGGAATCGGCCTGCACAGCTGCAAACGCCGGCGGAGAAGAACCTTCAGAGACGCCAATCTGCAGTCTGGGTTTAGGGTTTTAGGGTTTAGGGTTAAGGATTTTAGGGTTTAGGGTTTAGGGTTTTAGGGTTTAGGGTTTTAGGGTTTTAGGGTTTAGGGTTAAGGGTTTAGTAGTTTCAGGGTAGGGTTTTTAGGGTTTTGGGTGTTTTTGGGCGTAGGGTCCGCAGAACTGTATCTCATGATATTCCCTGGCATGGTTGTCTTGTGTCACGAGTCACAGGTGCATCAGTTAAGTAATTGCAATAAGCAGCAGGGGCCATAGTCGTGAAAGACAAGCTGTCACTACCCGTGGCTACTTCAGCATGTGCGGCTTGTGATAGAACTTGTGACAGTAGAAATGATAGGCTTCAATGTCGCGTTCATCCATTGTTTTGCTTGCCTTCAAATGTCTCATAATGCATGCATTCACAAAATTCCGGGTCGATAGACTCAAATGTCGGTTCCTACCGTATCATATGCAAATGCAGAAATTCCGAATCACTAGCGGAACTTTTCACTTTCGGAAGCCCCAAACCCTAAACCCTAATGCAGGGGCCTTACTAATTAGACCTAGGGTTTTGGGGTATCTTATATGATAAGTGTAACCAGGAAACCCCAAAATAGTGTATAGGTAATAATTAGGGCCCCTATATTAGATTGAGAGGTTCTTGAGTCTCTCTGCAGGTGAATTCGGAGCTTCCTTCAGACCTGACAGCGAGCCTCAGGCAGTGTCGGTGGCACCGCTGGGAGAAAAGAGGCGTCGGCGTTTCGCTGCCTCTCAGGGGTCCTTTAACTCAGGCTTTTGCGGGGTATGTTTAATTCAGAGTGCAGAGTTGACGGCCCTTAGCCGAGGGAAGCGTCCGAGATCCGACCTGGAGAGCTTGGTCAGAACCATGCAGGGTGCAGCCGTTGAAAAAAATGAGGCGAATGAGGCAAGATGAGGCAGTGTGAAACTATGTCCATCTCTATGGTTTCGGTCAGCCGTAAACCCGACCTTTGAAAATTCCTAAACCCTGCATCTCAAACTGTAGACTCCTATACTCTGAGCAAAAGGAAGTTTAGGATATTAGCATTGTAGGTTTAGGGGTCTTCAAAGTTTAGGACATTCGCCTTGTAGGTTTAGTTAGGGGCTTTGAAGTTTAGGATATTAGCATTGTAGGTTCAGGGGTTTTAAAGTTTAGGATGTTAGCATTGTCTGTTTAGGGTTTTGGGCTGGGAAGTGTATGAGTATTAGGTACCTGGGCCCGTCGAGAGTAGTGAAATCCCCAGGTAGGGTGTTTCAACGGTAGTCATACATGGATTGCTAAGCCCCTAAAAAAAAACTAAACCCTAAACCCTAAACCGTTGACACAGTTTCCGGGCCTGAGCTGCAGCACCACAGGGGCCTCAAGAATTAGAGGAGGGTGCCTAAACCTAAACCCTAAACACACTGAACCCCCAGAAATACAGTCCCAAGGAATGGCGGAGCGGCTTAAATTCTCAGACTCGTCTGTGGCATGGGTAGGGCATTTAAACCCCAGAGAGGATGTTACAGACCACCGGAGGATCCTAAACCCTGGAGCCCCATTCTGGGCATATACAACCCGCTAAACAGTACGCCCTCAGCAGTTTGCTATAGGTCATGGAGGCGTCGCACTGTACGCAGCCATTTCCCATCATGCTCCCCTTCCACAGTGTTCATGTTGAGTCATCTGCCCAAAAGCAGGGCATAGCACGGGAGACCCGGTGTCAGACTGAGTTGGATCATCGTACCCTGCTTCGTCATCTGGATCTCAAGAAAGTTTCTCATATGCTCACGGATCAGTCATCATCCGGATCTTTGGATTTTTTCTTGTATGCTCTGCTCATGGTGTAACCATCACCGAGAAGAAGTTGGACATGTCTGAGACCTCACCTGTGCCCGAGACTGATTCGGCTGGAGGGGTCAGCTTGGAGAGCCAGAGCGTCACAGTGTCCCTCCTTAGCGGACGGTCAGTCCAAGTTCCCGCGACAGCCAGCACTGTACTTGGTACGATTAGAGTGGAGGCAGCTCGCTTGTTGGGTGTCTGCGTCGCGATGTTGGTACATGCAGATGGCTCGTCGCTTGATGAGCAGCAGACCCTGGCAGATGCAGGCCTCGATTTGGGGCAGCCGCTACAAGCTCTGATGCGCACAACAATCGGGGCGGGAGACTTGGTGAAAGTCCAAGACGGAGTGACGCCAGTCTACGGCTGGGGGTATGTCGAGCCTGACGAGTGTGGGACAGTTGTCTCCATCGACGGCGACGATGTCACCGTCAACTTTCCAAGTAATTCATCATGGAGTGGAAAGCTCCACGAGATGGAGATGGTTGAGGCAACGGGTCCGCTACAAGCACCACTGAGCACAATCGATGTTGGACGCCTAGTGAAAGTCCGAGAGGGAGTGACGCCAACTTATGGCTGGGGCACCTTAGGGGCTGATTAGGTAACCTTTAACCTTTTTTGGGCTTATATATCCCTACCATTATTGGAAGGTTAACCTTTTTTGGGCTAGGATACTCAGACCCTAAGGCAATGTCAAGCCCGGCGACTGTGGGAAAGTGGTCTCTGTAAGTGGCAACAGCGTCACTGTCAACTTTGCCGGCCAGTCAGGATGGTAAACCCTAATTAAAACCCTAAACTCCCTACACCCTAAACCCTAAACTCCCTAGACCCTAAACCCTTAAACCCTAAACTCCCTAAACCCTAAACCCTAAACTCCCGAAACCCTAAACCCTAAACTCCCTAAACCCTAAACCCTAAACTCCCGAAAACCCTAAACTTTTAAACCTTAAACCCAGTCTTCCAGTCAGGATGGACGGGTCGTCTCGACGATATGGAGGTGGTACATGAACCCCAGGTCGGGATATAATTAGTCATCCCTAAACCCAAAACTCCTAAACCCCAAACCAAAAGCCGTAGTTTTGGTGGCCTTAATACTTAGAAGAGGGTTCTGGGGTCCTTTATAGTAGAATTAGAAGAAGGAGCCCCCAAGATAATACAGGCAATTTATTTAGGCCTCTACATTAAGCCCTGAAGGCTTAACCTTTACCATGACCCGCAGGTGACAGTGAAGGTTGCCTTGCTCAGCGGACGTTCAGTCGAAGTTTCAGCGACAGCCAGCACGGTTCTCCACGAGATCAGGGCGAAAGCACCTGGTACTAGTTGCGTTGAGGGTTTAGGCTCAGGGTTTAGGGTTCAGGGTTGGGAATCTTGGGTTTCTTACAAGTCCCATGACCGAAATGTAAAGCCAGCCATGACGCTTTGTTACCGATTTCAGTGGGGAAACCCTAAACCCTAAACCCTAAACCCTAAACCCGAAACCCTAAACCCTGAAACCCTAAACCCTAAACCCTGAAACCCTAAACCCTAAACCTCCCAAGAGGCATCTGGCATGTTCGGTGTCCGTCTCTCGAAGCTGGTTCTCGCGGATGGCTCTAACTTCGATCCTGGGTCTCCTTTTGGTCACCTCATTTTTTGTCACTACATATCTAGCAACTCATATCGCTTGCATAATCTACCCCCGCTTTTGACGCATGTTACTTTAGAACAGATGGTGCAGCGCTGCCAGGCCCCCTCCCTCCCCCTCCACCCCATGGTATTCCCCCCTTCCCTCCCGCTGCGGTTCCCTGTGGTGCGGGTTCCCCCCCTGTCCATGGCCGTCCGCGCGCTCCTCCGGTCCCTGCTTCAGAGTCCTGAATGAAAGTCAATCAAGCACATGCTGGGTTGACTTGTAACGCACCCCACCGAAACTGAGCACAGAATGACAACGATCGATACAAACTACGAAAATCTACGAAAGAACATCAAACCAGACAAACTTTTCAACCACATAAAGCCAAATAGCATGGGGTACTGAAGGGGATAACAGGATAAGAGCAGTGGTGCTACCAACAGTCACAGTCGAAATACCAGCATGTAAGAAGCACATCAGCGTAGAGTCATTATCCATAGCATCATCGTCATCCTTCTCATCTGTGTGGGGAGGGGGTGGGGGCGGGGGTTGCCCGAGTTTGCGCGAGAGTCCCAAAAATCAAATCATGTCAGCAGCTACGAGGATGATGACGAGCACCATCCCTGTGACTGATTGCTCGGATGAGAGGCCTGGCTTGGCTGCTGTGGGAGGGAAATGGGGTGGCTGGCGCGGGAGGCGGGGGGCCCGCTGACGTGGCGACGCGGGACCATATGTGCCATGATGTTGTTTGAAGCCCTAAACTCCGATCTCTACACACTAGGCTCTAACCTTACAGAGCCCTAAACCCTAAGACTTACAGCCTAACAAACGCCCCAAGAACCCAACCTTGGAACCCCCCCAAACCCAAAACCCTAAACCTTGAAACCCTCCCTAAAACCTACGTTAAGGCTCTAAGGACTCATATTTTAAGGCTTTTTGGGCCTAAAGACCATACTCTATAAGGCTTTTGGGCTATTTTGAGCCTTAGGGCTAACAAGACCCGAGGATGAGAAGCAGAGCCTGGCTGATGCCGGAATCGATCTGCGGGAACCCCTGCAAGCGCTAGTGGGCAACTGCGACGCGAAGGTGGAGGGTTTAGGGTTTAGGGTTTAGGGCTTAAGGGGTTAAGGGTTTAGGGTTTAGGGTTCAGGGCTCAGGGTTGAGGATTTTGGGTTTGCGGTTTGGTTTAGGATTCAGGGCTTGGGGTTTAGCTTAGGATTTCAGTTGAGGGTTTGGTTGAAGATTCAGGGCTTAGGGCTTAAGGGGATCCTGTGTGAGACCTTGACAATGTAGATCCGATCAATAAGAGGTCTATATTGGGTAGCTTCCTTCCTGAACACACAGTATGGCTCCTGATAACAAATTTAAAGGATCTGAGTGTGCAGCATCTAAGAACTGGCTCCAGGTGCACTGCAGCATGAAATCCTGAACCTAAGCCTTTTTAAAACCCTCACAGAATCCTGTCTATTGGAAACTGCCCCAGCTTGGTAACAGTTGGATAATATGTGGAATATGGATATATAAAGCCTTAAGTAGCGGCACTGTTATGGACTGTGACTGTATGGGGGCATTACACAACTCCTACAGATAATATAAGGGCCTTAATAATTAGAATAGGGTTTGGGGGTCCCTTATACTATTATTATAATAAGGAGCCCCCCAAAACCCCATTCTAATTATTAAGGCTCCTATATTACATCCTGAACCCTAAACCCTATAAACCCTAAACCTGACCCAGGGGACCTTCGGCCAATCCCCGAGGTTGGATCCATGGTGAGAATCCGTGACGACGTGGAATTTCCAATGCATGGCTGGGGCAGTGTCTCGCGTGGCGACTGTGGGCGCGTTCCTTTAAGGGATCTATCGGGCTCCCTGTAAAGGGGTTCTATAGGGCTGTCGAGTCTATATAAAGGGCTCCGTGCCGATATGGTTTAAGGGGGTTCCTGGGCTCTTCTTGAGGAACTTAGTTAGTCAGGGTTTTTCAGAACTAATAGGGAGTAACAGCGCTACAGTCACTACGGCAACAATATGCCAACCTCGTTACCGTAGCTTCGACCGAGATTCTGACGAATATCCCAGGTTACTGCCATCCGTGGAGACACCGCCACGATCGACTTTCCAGGCCAGTCGGGCTGGTCAGGTCATCTCGAGGAGCTGGAGCTCTGCACATGAAGCGGTTTCCTATGATGAGTCGTTGCTCCAAAGCTGGGGCGTCCATGTGACAGCAGATCCCGCCGTGGCCAAGACGGAACGGGGCCTGTAGATGAAATTCGGCCCGTTTCAGATTAGTTTTCCATAGATTTGGGACCCTTTAAAGTGCTTCAGGCAGACGTGACAGCCGCCGCTATCTTTACACTTGCCCTTAGCATCAAAATAGCCCAAAGGCCTTATATAATAGGGTCTTTGGGCCCAAAAGCCTTAAAATATGAGTCCTTTGAGGGTAAGGTTAAAAGAAAAGGCAACATAGTGCGGCAGGGTAAGCCATTCAGCCTGCTCGGCAAAGGTCAGCAAGGATATGGTCCGAGAAGGCTTCACTTGGTGCCAAGCTCGGCAGGTAACACTCGGCCCACGTGTGGGGTTCTGAACATTAGGGTCAAGCGGGGGGGATGAGGGTGTCCGGTCCATTTTGGGGTTCCTTGTGTTTTTGATCATCTGTTCTGATATTTATGAGTGGACTTAATGTGGCCTAGGGCTCTGAATAGCTACATGTTGACAACCCAAACCCTAAACCCTAGATCCTGAACCCCGAACCCTAAACCCTAAACCCGGAACCCTAAACCCAAAACCCTACGGTTGATGATATACATCCTGCCTGACGCATAATAAAGAATATACCATAATTCCCATAGTTTAGGGTCCTTAAGGTAATGCAGGATTTATATCTTCAACAGTAGTACAACCCCCCAGGCTTCGTTCCACACTTTAGGGTTTAGAGTTTAGGGTTTGGAGTTTAGGGGTCTAGGGTTCAGGGCTTGAAGTTTAGGCCTAATTAAACCCGAGCCCCCTGTTTCCTTGAGCGGCTCAGGTTTGTAAGGCTAGCAGTACTCTGACTTGCGCTAGCCTTTTTGCTAGAAAAGGGGACGTTGTACCACATGGCGTGCGGGGTTGGTAGGCATGCACCATCCAGAAACTTAGCGTGACAACTGTTCAAGTCTAAGTGGAGGTGTGCCGCATTCATTTGGGCAGGGTGCGAGGTTTGATTCGTTCGGAGAGTCCGAAAACTGCTATCCTCGAGCCCTAAACTCTACTGACGTTGCTGTTGCCTTCCCGGAATAGGACTCTTGCTCAGGAACCATGTGTGTAGAGCTCTAAGACAAAAGGCTCAATGCTATACGAGGAAAAGCAATCTTTTTTCTGCTATGGGACTCAGCGCCGCATCACCCGAAACCCTGAAGCCTGAAATCAAGCAGAGGCCCAATACATGAACAACTAGGGTGTTTCGGAGGAGATATGTGAACCCTAAACCCAAAACCACCGTAAAGAACTGTGGAGCCTCAGTGACATTTCATAAAATCATGAAGAAGCCCAAACGCAATAACAAAAAATGTTTAACAAAAGTAGTAGCTGCCATATTCATTTTAGTCTCCGTAGTAGTAGTTGTCATTTTAATCCTAATCTCAGGCATATTGGGTCCAATGCCGGGAGTCTGGCGCCGCAGATACCATAAACAGTGCTTAAAGGTTCATGGGACTTCGCAACTAGGATATTGGGTTTAGGCTTATAAACAGGGCCTTACAAATATGGCAACCATACTTCAAATTCGTTATATCCCCAAGTAAGGAACTCCGACCCTCTGGCTTACTAAGTCCCACGAACCCCGAAAATTGCACAGACTCAGTCATCGAATTTGCAACAGGAGCCACGGAGCCCCATAATTAAACAGTCCTAAAGCTTTATAGCTCTAAAGCCCTACAAATCCCTAAAGCCCTGAACCCGATTTAATGTGGGCGCAGAGATTGAGAGTAGCAAGCAAGATTAGCTAGGACAGGTGGGAACTGGCAGAATCGATTCGAAGGCTGTGGCCGTGCACAGTGTGCTTCTCCCAAGGCTCAAAGCGATTGATGGCGAAATGGTGAAGCCTGCTGCTCAGAAATTTAAAAGGCGATTTTCGGCTTCGCGATTACAAAAGGCTTGGGGGTCTGGGAGGTGAAGTCAGAACCACAAGTTCTACCCCTTGTGGTCTTAAGAGCTGGGCAAGCTCCACAGTATCCAGGGCGAGTCAATGAAGGCATCTGTAAGTTCTTACACCTCAGAGAGAGACTCTGTGGCCCAACCTGCACAACAGACATCCGAGCTTTGCAGTTACATAAGCCCCCTTCCGTTCGTTCTTTGCTTCCTGCTTTCTTTCCGGACCATGAGCGTAGAACCCCCCAGATTGGGAATCATAGGCTCCATGACGACCCAAGCGAAGTGCTTTCAGGGCCATATGAAGCCCGGACCGGAAACCCTCCAAAGACATTGAATCTAAGACCTCTTGTGGCAGAAACCCTAAACCCTAAGCCCCGAACCCTAAATCCCCGAACCCTAAACCTTAAACCCTAAATCCCCGAAGCCTAAACCCTAAACCCGAATCCCCTGGCCCTGACGCCTGAAGGCCGGAAGTTCAGTCGTTCCCCACCATGCGTGAGCGCCCTTAAGCCTACTTACCTGGTTCTAGGTTCGAAGGAAGGCTTCTATGCTTTCTTTAGGCTTTAGGG